TTATGGTCCTTCACAGCAGAAAAAAAAAATGATGCCTTGTTTATGGTCCTTTCCAGTAGGGGAAAAAAAAATGATCGACATAATGATACATTTTTACCGTAGTAGTAACTAATACGTCATTCACTCATTAACGAAGTCATAATAACACATTTGAATTTTGATATAATTATACTCACAATCAATCAATAAATGATAACAAACTCATCAACATTATTCATAGTTTTTCTGAATATATCACCGTCTCTATCGTTACTACCTTTTTTTTTTCAACTTTTAATAAAAGGTAGAAGGATGCAAGTACAATGAAAACATGATACAACGTATGAGTAAGTAAACTGGCACAATCCTTAATTAGTGAAACCTTTTCAATTTTTTTTGTTTTTCACTTTTACTTTTAATTTACGTGCAAAAAGGGTAAGAAAGAGCGCAACGACTGACCCGCAGACCCTAACCAGTCTTGCATTTGCCACCAAGAAAGGGGTAAGTTTCAAAAAACGTCCTTTTTATCTATGGTTTACCACATTTGAAAATTAACAAGATTTGGAATTGACCCTTCATTTGCTTTTTGGTGGAAAAATACTTAAATGAAATCATGATTTAGTTTGATCATCATTTCTTTTTCCAGACAAGACTTTTGAACAAATCGACGTAGGTGTATAGACTTGTAGGCTTTAGCTAGCTACTGGTCAACTCGATTAGGATAAGAAGATATAGAGCGAAATAATAACCGATTAGTGTGAGTTATTCGAATGCCGATTTTTTTTTTTCTTTCTCAGTGGTAGGTGCTCGAAATTCATTTTTGAGGGTGGACATGAAAAAGATGCATATTCTAATGTTTTTCTCACGAAGTTCGAGAACAATTGGTCGCATGATCGATCAATTAGAACAAATACATCAGAAATATTCTCTGGTTAGTAATAATTCTTCTCATTAGAAACTGCTAATGACACAAAACATGTGACAAACTCAGAAGGGCTAATGAAGTGGTAAAGCGTTGATTATAACATTAATAATTTTTCGAATTTGAGCTTGTGAACTTAAAAATAATGTTCGGGACACGCCTAACTCTGCAAGAACCAACATGAATCTATGTATCTTCCTAGATATAACTCCTTTTTTTTTTTTTACTTTAGTTTTTTTAAACAAGGCCCCTATTCGGAAAGTAATACTTTCTCTATCCCAAAATTCTATTTTGGATTTTTACTTCGATTTCAATTTGTACTAAAAATGAAAATTCAAATTGGACAATAATTTTTGGATTTGGGGAATACTAATAATTAGGATTTTATGTGAAGAACAAGAATCAGTAATCTTGTAATGCCCAAGTAACAAAACTTTCCCACTCAAGCATGAGTCGGGTTATTCATTAAACTTGGATGAATTGTTCCAAATTGGCAAGTGTCTAAACATTTTCAAATGACAAAAATTTTCAATCAAACAAATTAACAACTAATCAATTCCCGAACAAACATTGCTTGAGAATCTTGCTGGTACCTTTAAACAACATTATTATCAGAATTATTTGACCTAGCTAGAGGAAGGCATAAGTAGTAATAATGGTTGTTACAGATACATAGATCACCCTAGAAGGACGTGAATAATTTTAAATTGTAACCACTCAATGGCCACCCTCAACAAGTTAATCTTAGGAAAGAATAATTCCCAAATTGGAAAGAAAGTCACACGAAAACAAAGCATTATTAGTGGCTTGGCCAAAGCGTAAAATTTTATACTACATCTGTCCCACGAAAATAATCAACATTGAGTTTTTAAATTTGTACTAAAAACAATATAAAGTTACAAACTCAATGTGGACTATTTTTATTGGGCGGAGAGAGTAAAATACATATATTTGTTCAATAAAACATTTAAATAGGCACTTGGGGAACCAAAAAAGGGGAGGGCCAAAACATGGCTGGCCTCAAATCACATGATAAGTACCAATAAAATGAGTTTGTCTATCACTTTTGAAGGTCTCCACTGGGAGATTGAAGATAATGTTTTTGTGTGCCAAGAGTTGAGAAGAGAGTCTCCTTAGGAATTTGATTATGGCCTCGCACGTAGGAGAAACTATAGTAATTAACTATTAATATATTAATCCAAAGTGGAAAACAAGACAAGATGGTCCAAAAGTAAGTTGAGAAAAACAAACACAGAAGACGGGAAAAAATTTTGAAATACAAAACATTTTGATGTGGTTAGTGATTCCATTCAACGATAATTAGGAGTTTAGATTCTTCCAATGCACCATAATCCTTCTTTTTTTGTTCCCTAATACAAACACAAATGCAGCCATTGATTTGCACCTTACACAAGTTTTAGACCAAAGTGATTGGTTCATGGGGGATAAAAACCCTTTTAGCCCATCGTCTCATGTCGCCCCTTAGCCCGACCCATGGGACCCATGCCCCGCTTGACCACCAAAGTACCCCTCCCTAAAAAAAAGTATGCCTCTTTTTTACAAGATGATGATGGTTGATGAAGTCATATGGAGAGGTGAGGGAGAGAAGAGAGGGCAGCCCAGCCTTTGGAGGGGGGCATCCCTCCACTTCTATTCTCTCTCTCTCTCTCTCTCTTTTTTTTTGGGTTGTTGATTAGCTTTTTTAGTTTTGTTTTTGGATCGTTTGGTGCAGCAAATTTAAAGGGAGTTAGGAGAAGTAGGGGACGCATTCAACCAGGCAATGTGGGGAACACATTCATGCAGTAGTTGAATTTGAAAAGTTATGCACATTTGCCAAATATATAGGGTAAATAGTTGTAGGCAACTCTACATGTTTCTAGTTTGTGTTTGTTCCAATCCTGTTACAAGGAAGAAATTACATCCACTAATTTATGCTTTCCTGGTCTTCATCATGCATCACTGTTGATATAGTATTGTTATTTTAATTCTAAACAGGGAATTGTACGTTACATCTTTAAATGAAACGAAAAGTGATACGGATTTGGACAAACAAAACACGGAACAAAGGATTTGTACTGAGGGGGTGTGCGTGTGTATTGTTGTGTTTTTGTGGACCAATCCCTGCTCGGGAATTTCCAATTAATGTCTTCGACAATGCACTGAATACCTTTGTGCTTAACCCATTGTTTTTGGAAGATATTTGGGGAAGTACTCCGTATGTGTCCCAAAATCATTCCCATGCTTGCGACACAGGAAATGTAGTAATTCTTACTTAAAAACTTCGAGAAGCGCTGTAAAACTATGAAAGTGAAAGATCAAGAAACAAGAAGAAAGAAAAATAGGAACATTAGATTGGATTGGTCCCATGGTGCAGAGTACATGTGGAACTAAAAAAGTAAAGTGGTGTGTCATGTCTCCCCTCTATAATGAATCCCATGAAGAATGGGAAGAGAGTTCAACATTATTGTGTCTTGCCCTCAAACTATCCTTTTTGCCACCACCCCCCCCCATTCTGTACTCATCAATTGTCCTGAAAGAAATGTGGATGAACACAGCCAGCTCTACCTCAATCCACCTGCAATGATGTTAGGTATAGGTTAGTCGTATCTAGACTCCATCGTGGTAATGCCTATCTGCTAAAGTTAATATACTTATTGCGGAGTTCCAGCAGTTGACATAACCATTATGCCCAATTACGTCATATTAGTCCGAAACCTCACTGGTTATACAAATGTAATATCCTTGCCCCTCGAAATATGTACTCAATCCTTCTCTGTTTTCCAGCACCCCCAACTTCATTTTTAGCTTATACACGGGTTAATACAATCCGCGTTGTTCAACATCTTGCCTACTGCAGAACTAAGATGGGACCAATTACGCTAATTTACTAACCAACAACTAACATACAAGTTAGATGAACAAGATAATGTCTCGAGTTTTTCTCATGTCCTGTTCTTCAATAATGGGAACCATCAAACCTCATGTTGTTAGTTGAGTTTTGATCAAAAGGAAAATCATAAGGGCCCTTCAGTGATCATAATTATTATTGTAAAGGGGTATTTGAATCTGCCAAAATTCTATTGGCGAGTCTGACTCTTTTCTATTATGTCTGACCACTTCATGAATGGCTTCAATTATTCCGAACGTTTCATCATTTCTAAGCCACATGGTCAGCTGTTAGATCCACAACATTTGCTTCCATAAAGCCTTGTGTGATATTAAGAACGTTTACAAATTGTTTCAGTCCTTCCAAATCAAATCAGGGGGCCAAAAAATGCATACAATTGCTACTTTCAAGGCCACATGTTCAAGTAATTTAAAACAGCCACCGTGTGATCATCATCAGCATTATATTATAGCAATACTAGCGTGTAGTTTGTTTACTTTTAATATAGGAGTATTTGATAAACCACAATGTTGAGCTTCAAAAGAACTGAGACATAAAAACAATGTCTTATTGGTAAATGCTGATGCAGACATTTTTCCAAAAGAACTGATGCAGCCAATGTTGCAGACATTCTTTACCTTATCTTGGAGATGAGAGTCACATATCGTTTGGGGGACTGAAAGTTAACATTCAATACTTACCAAATTGTTACTTAAATAACAGAAAAAACGATAATGGAAGGATAAAGAAGAGAACATGGAAGTAGAAGTACCATTGACAAGTTTGATAATCTGGATCTAGAAATTTGTCAGCCAAGAGGTAATACTGAAATCGCCATAGTCAGCTACTCCCCAAATCAGACCTAAAGGCCTGAACAATTCTAAAAGAACGACGACAGCAAGAACAACAACCCGGAATAATTTAGAGAGCAAACCATCAAGTGAGATGATTTGCTATGGTATCTCATCTTAGCAGCTTTAGGCCGCATTTGAATTCGCTACATCAAATGAATAATCAAGCATCAAAGTATTAAAAGCAGCGTCTATGCATGATAGCCCATTGGCCTTCCAAGTTCCATCAACAGGTATCTCAAGCCAATATAAAAACTTCCCCACTCCAACTATAGGTAGCATTAGCAATGACACCAGGCATCACATGATGAAGAGTGAAGTCTACAATGGGTAGCCCATGGGCTTTCCAAAAAGAAGTAGCTCAAGCCAACACAAAAACTTCTCCATTCCAACTACTGGTAGCAATGACACCAGGCATCACAGGATGAAAAGCGACATCCACACAGGGTTGTCCACTAGCTTTAATCTTTTTGACAAGCCTAGATGATTTAGAGTCATAAAAGTATATAAATCCATCAGAAGAACCAGAGGCTATCAAATCTCCATCTAAACTGAAATTACATTTAATGGGGAACCCAAATACACCGTGACTTTCATATCTCTTGTACTTGTCAAGTCTGAAGGGGTAACTGGAACTAAAAATTGCAATGTAATTTCCATTCGATTGTGCAATAAAATAAGGATCCACAGGATGAAATCTGATACATGGACATGTATATGCCTCAACATAAACCTGAAATGCAAGGGATATTAGTCATAATGGATGAAACACACAGCAGAGAATAAACAGACTGACTTTCTGCAAACAAACGGTTGAAGATGACCTAATAGAAGCAATTAAAAGTTAAAGCAGGAGCCATTATCTGATTTGTTATTTGTTAGAAGCATTTTAAAAGGGGCCACTGTCTTCATTCTTTCTATACGCAAATGATGAGAATCAATCAAAATCTTGCAAGGCAAAGATTGGGAGATTTTTCAATTCATGGCGAAAAGTGCTAATCCAATAAAGAACAAACTATTTTCCTACAATAAACCAAATTGGAGAAAAATGTGTCTGGGTGGGCCTGTACACCAGTAAAAAACGGTATCTCTAATAAAACAATATAGCAACAGATCCTAGAAATCGAACATAAAGCATGGTCACCTTTGATGTATCTCAATATTTATCAGGAAGGAATGTGCCCTTACATGTAAAAATTTCCAAATCTCTTTTATATTTTGCTTAAACAGGTGGTTTTTTCACATATGTTAACCTACCTACGCTATCCTTTTCCTTTTCTTTTCTTGTAACTGATGAACAGCTGGAATCATGACGAAAATGGAGATGCTAAAGTAACAAAACCAAAGAAACAGTACAACAGGGGTTGGAAAGAACTTTGCCTGATTAGATAATGGAATTTGCCTTGAAACATCCCAAACAAGGATTGAATTTTCACTGAGATTGCTCCTCGACTCATCGCTTGAAGAAACCAGTTGCTTGCCATCAATGGAGAATTCTACATCTAAAATTGGTCCAAGGTTCCGTGTATATTCATGGACAACTTTTCCTGTCCTGACATCCCACAGTTTAAGAAGTCCCTTTGACCCCCCCGAGAGGAAAAGGTTGAAATTGTTTGGATGAAACTTTACTACTCCCACTACCTGATCCTCCCTAAAAATTTGAGTCTCTATTCCCCGCTCCACATCAATTAACCTGGATGAGCAATCATATCCACAAGAAAGCACAGACAATCCCTGCTCTGACCACTTCACATCCTTCACGGCAGCCTTGTGAAAGTTCAGCACACGAGCTCTCTTCTGCTTGCTGCTCCACACGTTCCATATATTGACAGTTTGATCCATTCCAGCAGACGCAAGAAGGTGAGCTGAAAACTAAAAAATACATGATAGATCAGGAAAGCGACATAGATTGGAGCTACCAAACAACAAATACATGAACAGATCATGCATGGAACAACGTGGAGCTACCAAACTGCAAATAAGTGAATATATCAAGAATGCAAACAAAACTGCAAATAAGTTCAAATGAACATTTAAACACCAAAATAAGAATAACCACCCAAATTTTGTGGAAGATTAAATATAATAGAAAGTACTCTGACCCTCGAATCTAACTCCAAAAATGTTGTATTACATTGACAAAGCTCTCAGCTTGCATGAATCCTATGAATGGGATGATATAGCACGGATGAGTCAAAGGGCTACCAGAACATCGGAACGCTTTGTAAAGATACAGGGTGCACTTGAGGTCAACTTAAAAGCTATTTATTGTACGTTTCCAACCTTTGATCAGCTATTTATTGTACGTTTCCAACCTTTGATCCGAGGCGTTTAAGTTCCCGAAGAGCATAATTCACCGAAAATATATATTTTTTCCTCCAATATGAGAATGCCTTGTAATTGTTGTTTTATTTGCTGAATTCACTTTCTGAGGGGTGACAGTTGAACGTTGTTTCAAAATTCCATCTCTAATATAGAACAATATATAGGAAGCTATTCTCAAATGGCTCCTCGTGATTTACTTTTCATAGAGAAGAAACTAAACAAATTCTAAACATACATATTCCATTACATTTCAACACCATTCTTGACTTTGAGTATATCAACATTAAAAGCAATGCACACAAGATATAACTAATAGCAAGTCACGTTGAATGAATCATGATAAAGGGAAATCACGCACAACTAGGACCAACCACTAATGACAAATCCATAAACAGGCAGATAACAAGTAGAAGCATCTGAAACAGCAAGAATATTAATCCAGTTCACTCTTGCCAGTGAAAATCGATGCCATACTAACTCTCACTCACCATGGATTCTGGACCATTGAACAGTATTTACAGAATTCGTATGCCCACTCAGAGTTACGGACAATCCTTCAGGCAAATGGCCCAATCGTGCTGCACGTCTCGTTTGTTGTCTCAACTTTGACAAGATTGTACTTGGCCAGCCGGACACCGATAGCGTTCCCATTACTATAGGGAAAAAAAAAAAACCATAAATCATAATTGTAAAAGCAAAGTCGGTAGCTTTACTCTACTATTGAATCCAGTCAAATCCCCATTTATTTAAGTTTTTCCATATCATCAAAAATACGTTCTTTTACTACCTTAGACTGAATGTAAATTCAAATAAAGAAGGGGAGACAGGTCCACAGGACTCATTATAGAGGAAGAAGTGAAGTAACCTGGAGATGGAAGGGGAATCTGGGTTGTCGGGTTTGGGTCAGACACCACATTTGCAGAAGCCAAGGCAGCTCGCTCTCGTTTCGACACGTACCTTCCGGGAAGAGGAGCTTCGGTTGGAAGAATTGTTGCCGAGACGGGGCGGTCAGGTGGTATATATCTGAAATTTGGGTCAGAATAATCGGGTTTTTGCCGTTTCGAAGGAGGGAAATCGGGTCTTCGGGGTCCATATTCAAGCTGGCGATCGTCTTCTTCGTCTGATCCGGATGCATACGCACTCAGTAACGAATTCATGGTTGTCGGAGAAAAAGATGACTACAGTGCTTTTAATCGGGATTTTGTAAAGAACTGGGTGTGATGGAGGGGTTAATATTTTTAGGGATTAAAACAAAAATTGAAGGAAGGACATTTCAGAAATTAGAGGCAGAGAGTGGAGATTGAAGCAGTTGAAAAGAAATCGGACGTAATGGGAAAAGGGAGAAATTTCATGTATTGTTCAGTGGACAGTGAGTAAAAGAGCCGAAGGCATGTCGCTGGATTAGTGTATAGTAAGCCCACTATTTTTTCCGGATAGTCCCAGCTCTAGCCCATTACTCTGAATTGGCATTTTCGGTGCTGATGATTTTTGGGCTGAGAAAAAGCTTTATCTTAGTCGTAACTTAATACTATATAGTTTTTAGGTGAATGAAAGTATAGAATCATTACTCAGACTAATCAAGTTCATACGCGATTCTCAATTCACTCTCTGAAACAAGTCTGAACTCCCAATAACCTATTTTACATTGTTAATAAAAAAAATTGTATGTTCAATAAGTACTGGAGAGCTAAATATCAAAACAAAAAGCATTAACACGTCAATTGTTTACTTCGGGAAGGAGTATTAAGCTTGATGTGTATGACAATTGGAAAATTCCGACTTTAATTAAAATGGAGTTAAAGAACAAATTTTGGGCCATAGTCTCTACCATGATATCTTTCTGGTTTAGGTGGTCAAAGCTCAGAACCCCATACTGGTGCATTTCTTGATCCCTGGAGCAATACTGTGTTTTCTTTTCTGTTTGGGATAAAAATGCTGTTGTTTTTCTACTAAGCTGACTTTTGAACTCTATAAATAAGAGGTGATTTTTTTATATTCATTACTCCCAAAATAATTAGTTTTTTATTGGTTTAGTAACTTTTCTTTCCTCAAATTGAAGGGCTTGTCTTTTTTCCTCTTTTCTTTTTTGGTACAATTGAAGGGCTTGTTTAATTATCTTCATAAATGGGGTTGGAGAGGACTTCACACTACAAACTCCAAGCTTACCAACATAAATTATCGGAAGCCATAATATACTCCATTCATTTCATAATATATATCCAACTTATTATATTTTTCTTGGCATTTTTGTTTTTGTTTTTGTTTTTTGTGTATCATTGTATGGAATGGGTAGTTTATTTTTCTCATTTTAATGTTGTCTTACTTTATTATATATTTACATAATGTCTACTGTCGGTGTTAGTGACTAATTAACAAACAACAATGCTTTTATTTTGACTTTTAATATTTCTATAGCTAAACAAGCAGGTTTTTTTTCTTCTAGTAGCTACAATAAAGTGCGAGAGTCCTCGTAGTATAGCTGTTGGTCCTACAGTGGAGTTACTAGACTAGTCCCCAGAGTGGAATATTTTGGTTCTGCGGACGTGATTAGTTTTGAACAATCAGACTTCATAAGCTTTGTTTTATATGTATACAGTATATAGTTTTCATTAGAATTTCGTGACAGGTCTGAGAGAGAGAGAGCATATGTGATTTTTCTGGTGATTATTAAGTTTACTAAATTCGAAATTGTCTAGTTTTAGATACAGTACACCATGTTTTACTTTTGAAATTAAAACCCTATTGTATATATAGACTGCTTTTTTCGAAGTAATGAAATGATACTCAAACATAAAAATAAAAATAAAATAGAAAGATCACTTGTCAAGCCGCGCCCATTCATGCACCAAACTAAGCGTACATAAAACCAAAACCAAAACCAAACGGGCCCTTTTAATTTCTTTCACATTAATGGGTGGTTGTGTATGAACTCATCGGACTTTAATTTTGTTTGTTGCCGATCGAAGTCCGACGCTCATAATTTCATGCCATGCAAATTCATCACAACCATCATGAGTTGATATGACTGAACAAATAACTACACAAAAAGAACAAAAAAAACAAAAACCGACGGGAGGGTCAAATTTACCAGGATTAAGGGTTTGGCAAAGTTTGTGATGGAACTTGGAAGAGCAGCAGGAAGGGACCCCAAAATAGTATTCCTACATGAAATCATGGATAAAAAGAGGGAAATGGACAGGATTTTATGGTTGTTTTTAATCAGCCGCGGTCAATTTTTGCCAGGTCAACCCCCACTCTGGGATTTAACTATTTATAAATATCGTTGACAAGACTGGGAGGCAGAGCCCATTAGTCAAATTTGTTTCTAACGTTAGTCAACCCCCAATATTATTCATCTCATTTCTCAATGGTAGAAAAATTGCTACCGTGTACTCCATTTACATTAATTCAGCAGCTTCCAAACAAAGTCAAAGCCAAGATGGATATTGTCATGTAATAACATATTTGTAGAACAACTTTTTAGTTTTGGCCCCTGAATTCAATGTACGTTAATGATGGATGACCTATCTAATGTTATTGCCAATAGCCTACCTACTAGGGTTTTCTTACAACTTTCAGTTTGAGCCTTTGAGGAGAAGAATTTGCCGAATCAATGGCGTGTGTCCATCTCTTTGTATTTGAATCATGCGTGATTTAGCTCGTTGAAAATCAAGGGGTTAAAAATCGGGGTTGCACTATGTTGATGTGAGTGTATCTTAATGCTGTTAGGAAACTTGTAATATGAACACCTGAGGCCTTAGCCTTCCTTTATGTACCCAAAAAAATTTATTAATAAATAAAGGATCAAATTTTTCCTTCTTCGTCTTACTCTTTCTTTTTCTTCTTTATTCATTTATGAATTCTTTTTGAAATGAAAAAAAGGAACAAAGTATAAATTAGATCAGTTAAGATACATATACTCGTTTTGTCTAAAATTTTTTAAAAAGGTAGTAATTAATCTACTAGTAGATAATAGTGAAAGCTAGACATCAGATTGATTTTCGTACGTGTAAGAATTTAATAGCTGTACACAACCATTGGCACGTTAATCAACCATTATCTTATTACACTTCTCTGCTGGTGCCCTATGAATCGTCTGCTGAATCAATCTTCCAATTAATACAGCCATACATAGCAAAAATCTCAGGAGTTATTGTTGTGCTAAAGGCAACCACTTGACCTAAATTAGAAATCCAAGCTATCATTCCATACTACTAACTTGTGGATAAGTGAAAATCTTACAGTCTTTTATTCTATTTTATGACCGTCTAGTTTTTTTTTTTTTTTTTTTTAATTTTTGGGATACAAGAAACCATAAAATATTTCTCTATATGTCAGTATCACACACAAACTAATACGTAACTCGCCTTCTTTAATTTATGATTGTACTCCGTGATTACAAATTAAATTAACCCATAAATGCTTTCTTGTAATGTTAAAGATTGTCTACTTTTAGTTAGTAAACCAGCGTTCATTTCCTGTCATTCTATGACCAAAAATAAAAAATAAAAAATAAAACAAAAAGAAGGAACAATATATATAGAGTTATAGTCTGAAACGATTTTAGGTTTTAACCTAGTTTGCTCTAAACACGTGTGGCAATAATCCAAAGTTTTAACCAAAGAAGACAAACAACACACTTACCTGCGCACCATCTAAGTTGCGGTCTTCTTCTTTAAGTCAAAACCGGTCATCATTGATTTCCATTGACTTCAACATAGATGGTTTAGAATTCATTTGACTTGCGTCACTAATTAATTCTTCCCTTCTGCCTTGGTCTATACTCCATGACTCTCATCACTTAATTCCAGTTCCACATTCAATCACGTCAAGCGTTTAACAATTACCATTTACACACCCGATCTAATTGGTAAACAAATACTTTATGTGTTCTAAAATTTTCGTCCACTCTAGATTTTCATTTCTAATATAATATAAATATTGAAAGTAAAATATCAAGCTGAACAATAATTTCGAAAAAAAAAAGTATTAAATTAGTTATTAAAATTTTAACCCGAACAATCATTAGATTACCCCCAATTAAAGACGCAAAATATGTTTATCCACCGTGAATTATTTTGTGAAATGAGGCGGCTGTTAGAACGCGGAGTCGTGGTTTACTGTAGAACTTCTTCCTTCCTGTGATTGACCCATGAAAGAAATGAAGAGCAGTCGGGTATATACAAGTGGACCTAATTAAAAAAAGAAAAAAGAGTCTCCCAAGCCAACTCTCAGGCTGAAACCTTCCATTCTGTTCTTTGAAGGTGACCTTTGGGACCCCAGAAAGAAAGAAGAAGCTATCTCTATCTCCCATGACTCTCTATAATAATATGTCTAATTATAACTTTTGATTTTGGTCACACTCACTCCTTCACTTGTTTTGTTCCTCCTTGTGATATGTTTTCTTCTTTTCTTTTCTTTCTCTCAATAAACAATTGCTTGACTCTTTCTAATCACTCCGTGTTGGAATTTTGCATTACCTTTGTCTCCTTTTTGTCATCTTCCGCACCCTCATGCTCACATCATTTTTGCATCACCCTCTCCGCCTTTTTTGTGGGAATTTTGTTGCCGATGTTATGTGATTTTCTTCTATGCATTTAATTACCTCTAATTATATTCAAGGGAATGATATTTAAAACTTGACCAAAATTGTTTCTATATTACCAAATATTTTAGGAAACTTTTAATATGATGCATGGGCTAACAACGGGTTAATTTCTTACATTTTGTAAAAATACTTTTTTTTTCTCTGGAAAATTGGTGTAATGGGATTGGCGAGGATAATGTCTTCAGAAACCATTTGTGTAATATGCCAAAAAAAATAAGATTAATTAGTCATCATAGGTTACACTGTTGGCGGTTTGGCTAAGATGGAAAGTAAGTGATATTTAACTATTTTTTTTTTTTTGTGGGTAAAAGGTGATTTTTCATTTCATCATCAACACTTGACAAAGATATATACACCGTTTCAAAACTCAATTCCTAGTTTAGTTAGGAATCGAACATCATCGCCACTACCATTTCTATATACATGTTTAATCCTCCATTTCAGCTTATTTTGAATCAACAACCAACTTTCCTGGACTGATTGTTGCTTGCCTCCAAACCTTCTGCTATTCCTTTCAATCCACACATCAGAAGTCATCGCATTCAAGTT